GATAGATAGATAGATAGATAGATAGATAGATAGATAGATAGATAGATTAGATAGATTAGATTAGATAGACAGACAGACAGACAGATACCACATTCTTGCAATATTCTAAACAATGTTTCTAAACTCTAAATGCTCTAAAAGAGCACAGAATGTCATAATTTCCCTCTCTCTGCCTCCTCTGCTCTTAGTCATCTGCAGCACTCTTGGCCATGCCCATTTCTCCACTCTGCACGGAGAACAGCTGATCAGCTGCAGCAGGAAGTTTATCCTGCAGTAAGGGCTGCACAGAGGTGCAGGAGGAAGTTTTTTCTGCAGCTCTGGGCTGCACAAATGTGCAACAGGTGCTAAATAATTTAAAATAATTTATTTTAAATAAAAATTTCATGCTGATCGTGCAGCTCATCCATCAATCAGCCAATTGTGTGTCATGTCCACTCTTATTTTGAAAAAACACGATAGAGCGAATCTGCGATAAACAAACCGCAAAGTAGCGAGGGACTACTGTATATGGCAACATGGCTTGCCATACATTCACCAGCCACACGCAGCCATTTGACCACAAACTGACCGGCCTTGAAAGAGGTAAAAACAAAGGGTTCAGTTAAGCTTCAGATGGGACTATACTTCCAGGCAGCGATCCTTCAAAGCCCAAATGGACATTCATTCAGCCACTGCACTCGGTGGACGCGTGCGGCCGACAACCCAAACAGATGAGATCCCACAATATCTGACATGTCAGAGCAGGGTCCATGTCTGAATAATGCAGAATGCAGGCAGAAGCAGGAATTTAATGTACTTTGACAGCCATAAAAGGACAAACACCCCCTCAGCTTCGATCTTCTGCCCCCTCAGCCGCACTCGTCAGCCGACTGTTAATAACTATATTTATATTGTTATTAACTTATAAGTTATTAGCTTATAAGTAGTCAAAGCTTACTTAAAAATGTTGTGGGGGGTTTCTGGTTTGGACCTGTAATTACTGTTAATTAGTCTGGTCAGATTCGAAAATGATGGCTACGGGCTGGGGCCTGGTCGGGTCGAATTTTTTGGGCCCGAATGCAAGTCTACCTTCAATCAAAAGACCCATTTCTACTTCATGACGCACTTAAGCCGCTTTGCCATCGATAAGTGTGACTCCACTCGGCTCTCGTCGTATTGGTTCTAAGTGGAACTAATTTGCCACTGTGACTTGTTTCCCTACTTTGTGTGGTGGACCGATAAGAGTTGAGACTGTGGCAAAGTGCCACAATAAAGTGTGTCCGGAACAGCAAAACGTGCTACAACTGTCCTGGTTTCCTGTGGGTTACTTGGGTGGGTGGCCTTTTTTGTTCAAATGGGGGGAGGGGGACTCTTTTGCTAGAAGCTTGAGACAAAGACAACACAACTCATTAAGTGTTGTATAGATACTACAAACAAAAACTATTGTTTAACACATTATGAAACAAAACATATACTTACATTTATTGTTTTTGCATGTTAGGACAAATAAAAGCATTTATATAAAAGGGAAAATAATTTATAGCTTATTTTTCCTTTGATAAACCTAAAACACTGAACTATGGAGGTCTGAGTGCTTTTTAAATTTTGGAGAAAAAAATAAGTATCTCACTTTGACATGATAAAGCACAAAATAAAATTAGAACCATTTGCTGGATTTTTAATGAAATGCACTGAATTAAAAAAAACAGAGACCTTCATTTTTTACAATTTGTGTTTTTGTTGGATGTAACTGGGACCCTGTGTAAATAGTTTCGTCCCACCTCATGTACCACATGTGGTGTGTATGACAAATATCTATCTGACTCTGATTTACCTCAATTTTAAGTGTTTAATAAAAGTAAGCTTTTACTTCTAAATTTTATATTTATACTATATATATACTATTTAACTTACTACGGTAACTTGTCAATTTAACTTGAACTTTTCACTGAACTCTATAATGACTCACAATTTGTAAAATGTTTGCAAAACTTTACTTTTTGTTTCTCTTCTCTGCAATGCGCCCTAAAGGTTTTCATACATAAATTTGTTTTCTTGTGGATTTTAAAGATATTTTAAAAAGTTAAGTCAGGTCCTCTAGTTGGGTTCAAAAAAACAAAAAATTGTAGAAATGTTTCGTCTTTCATCTGAAAGATTTCTTCAGTCTGAGGTGCTGTGTTCAGCTCAGTCTTATAAACAGCACCTTAACCAGTTTGTTATTGATATTCAAAACTAGCTGTTCACATGATCAAGGAGGACCATCAGCCTTACAATGGATCTTTAGCACCCTGATGGCTGCTTGCAGGGTGCTGAGTGATACTAGCAATATAAACATTTTTTAAAAAGTCCATCATTAAACAGGGGTGGAGGCCTCCGTGTTCAACTGTCCCCCTCTTACAATGCTGTTATTGCTAGTATCACTCAGCCTCCTGTGAATAGTAAACAGCCATCAGGGTGCTAATGATCCAGTGTTAGGCTGCTGGTCCTCCTTGATCATGTGAGCAGCTGGTTCCGGATGGCAACAACAAACTGGGATGATAAGGTGCTATTTAAGACTGAGCTGAATACAACTCAGACTGAAGAAGTCTTTCAAATGAAAGACGAAACATTTCTATAATTTTTGTGTTTTGAACCTGTCCAGAGGTTGAGATTTTTCTACCTGGATTATTGGGTATGCATCAGGAGATTTTAAAGATGGTTATTGCTGAAAGTCAGATGAATGAAATAACACTAGCAGGCAGGGCTTAATCTGTAAATTGATTGATGATGGAACACAAATAGCGGGCGGGCCAGCGATGGGGGGGATGGGAGCGGGGGAAGTGGAATGGACTTGTAGGTCCTCCTCCTTAAATCTACGTTTATCTACATTTGTAAACACGTGATTAAATTACTATTTTAGAGAGCAAACACGTTGTGTGTGAATAGAGCAACTCCGATTCTGTCAAGCATCCTGACTCCCCCCACACACACTCACTCACACACTTCACGTTTCTGAGTCGAACTCTTCTCCGCTGATTTCATTCCTGCGCGTTGTTGCTCCTGCTGCACCAACCTCAATTATGACTGTCGTCTCAGTTGTCAAACTACGGACAATCCATCAATTTATTTTATGAATGTAAATTGGACTGTCTGTTCGACATTTTGTTCGCTGTTATTTTTGACAAGGAGTTCTGACACATCAGCAGTTGTGTGCATGCTCGGTAGAGCTGTCTGGAGACACTCCTGTGCATAACGTGCACTGTCCGCAGGGTGCACTGCTGAAGGTGTTGGATGAAGACTTCATGCAGTCCATGTCTCTGCTGAGCAGGAGAATGTGCGCATGCTGCGCCGGAACATCCACTCCACAGACTGGACAACGTCTCCTCTCGTTGTATTTTTAATAAATACTCAAAATAAAAACAAACGCAGACTTTGGACTTTTAGCATCGGAGATTTGAGTTGCTGCATCCGAGCAAACAGTTGCCAAAACGCACCCTACCAAATGAGAGAGTTCCCGGTTCTTGCTCTGGCAGGATCTGGCTCAAATTAAACACTGCTAGCAGGCTAACAAACTAACAAAGGCATGGTCTAATGAATGATTTACTTCTTGAGTTAAGTATCATTCACTTATTTGAAAAATAAAAAATGGACAGTAAAACTGTCTAAATTAGCCTTATTTGTTATTGTTCTAAAATCAATAAAGTTTGGTCAAAGCTACAAAGGCCTGCTAGAGAAGGAGCAAAGACCCACAGGTTTCAGACCTCTGATTGAGTAAGCATAAGAGAGGACTGATTCTGAATGAGCTCAGTCACTTTTCACATGCTGAAGTGCACGTTCAATAAAACAATCACAGAAAAATGTGCAAACCTAAATGATTAAACACCTCACCTAAAGCCTCCAGTCTTCATTTGCAAAAAAGATGCATGGGTGGAAATACTGATATTTTATTGTTAAAGTTTTACTCTCCCATTAACGCTGCAAAAATAAAAAATAAAAAATGATGAATAAAATAAGAATTGAGCATTATTATAATTTCATCACTGGTGCACACATGGATGCAGAAATTCTTACTCGTCAGGAGAATCAGCCTCGTTACATCTAAAGACAAATTTTGAAAGTGAAAACTAGTTTTTATTAACAACAAAGTCCATGCTCAATAATCCAGGTATCACCTATTACCTATCTGTAGTTTTTATTAAGCATTTTTTTAAGTTTTCATTTAAGTGTAGGTGATCAGGACAGTTTGTCTGTTTGTTTGCAGTTTGCTGGCTCCTCCGAAGAGCGTGGCTGCTCTGAGCGCCCTGAGGGACGGCAGCTGGAAAGACGGCTGCTACTGAAGCCAAATGATCTGAAGTCTGAGCGGTGCACACAGGGTACGGTGCATGGGACCCATGCTGATTTAAAGCTGCCAGGACTGACTGTTAATGTGAATCAAAAGCACCAGTGAGGGAAACAAAGACTGGGAGCAGGATGGATCCAGCAGGCTGGATCTACTTACTACCTGCTCAAACACATCAACACACACTGACAATAGGCAATATTCTGACTAAAAGTTGCTAAATGTGAAAAGAATCCTCTTTGGTGTTGGTTTTATTTGTTTTGGTTTGTTTTATTGTTGATTTCCTTCAAAAGAATAAAACTTTAAAACGTCCCTTGAGGTTTCTACTTGCTGTTAATGATTTCACAAGTTTCATTTTGGAATATAATTTAGTTGTCAAGCTATGGGGTCATATGCAGCTAATGCTGAAATCAGAACGGAGTTACTTCCTGTGCCTGTTAAGAAGTACTGTAACTCATGTTGGTTATGTTCTGTTTTGTTTTAAAACAATTCAGCACTTTTAGTCACAATTACAGTTAACATGTTGAAATATTTGATCTGCATTTTCCGTAAGTCAAATTTCCCCTCGTTTGTGTCAGATTAAAGAGATAGTTCACATCTTTTAAAGTGGGGTTCTGTGTAAAACGTATGAACAGTTAATATCTTACCTGTTGTAGATAGCTCCTGGACCGACGTCAGTTTGGAGAAATAGTTTAAATCTGACCAGATTGATGAGCTAACAGCTCATGTGAGCGAAGCCAAGACCAAAGTATTGCTGCCTTAAAGCAACTCTGTCAAAACTTGCATAGCGGCTTATTTAATCACTATTTTAGAAACATTTACATTGCCTAGAAGTTTGCCTTACATGATCTAACATTGATTTTCCTCTTTTTTAATGATGTGTAAATAGCAGCAGCAGCAAGCTGTAGCCCTTCCTGTGCAGCCTGAGGCTCAGCTGGCAGGAACAGCTATATTTTAGCCAAATAATTGTGCAATGCTAAATTGACAACAATGTAAATGTTTATAAAATAGCACTCAAATCAGCCATAATGAATTTTTTGGGGCGACATTTATTTTATGATGGCAGGACTTTTGACTAGCCATTAGCTCATCAGGCTGTTAAAATTAAATGTTCAAAGTGTTATCTACAGCAGGTAAGATATTGTTAATTAATTTTCCACAGAGCTCTCTTTTAAATGTAATGTTTTCATTTAGGGCTATTTACTTTTATTTTAATGTTTTTACATGAAATGGTTTGATAAATAGAACTGCTGCAGAAATGTTGCACATAGAGCCCCGATGCTTTTTATGGTTTACAAGAAGTTAAAGAGGAGGATCATTTTTAAAAAGAATAAAGCTTCTCAAAGTCTTTCTTTACTGTTCTTGTCTTTCTTTCACTTAATATTACGTAAAACAAACATTTGAAATGGTTAAAGTTTGTGTTCAGCTACAGATTTTAAACAATTCATCACAAAAAGCACGTTTAGCAAACAGTAAAACCTTGATTTCCTTTGAGATATGTTCTGTTAGTTCTAGCTAAAAGAAAATTTAGCTTTTTAAAACTGCTCTTGAACTTTCTTGCTGTCTTTTTTGTGCTTTATGAAACATGATTGTCCATTTTGTTTAATTCTTTTAAATGCTTTTTTTTTTTCAAATCTAAAAAGTTCAGACTGAGATGAACACCAAACATTATCCGACAGGAAGAGAAAAAGATGATTAACTTTATTGACGGTTTAAAATATTTGAAACAGATAAAGCAAAAATGGTTTTAAAAGGGAAAAGGGCAATAAATTAAATATACTTGGTTTAAAAAGGGTAAGTACAAAGCGCAAGACACATCACTCATATAAAAGCATCCATCCATCTTATACCGCTTATCTGTAGTCAGGTCACGGAGGCAACAGGTCCAGGAGAGAAACCCAGACATCCCTCTCCCCAGCGACACTTCTCAGTTCATTCTGTGGGACCCTGAGTTGTTTCCAGGCCAGAGAAGATACACCATCCCTCCAGCGACTTCTCAAGGCCTCCTACCAGTGAGATGTGCCTAGAAAACCTCTGCAGGGAGGCTTAACAGGAAACATCCTGATCAGATGTCTGAACCACCTCAACTGACCCCTTTTAATGAGGAGGAGCAGTGGCTCTACTCCGAGCTCCCCCCGGATGATGGAGCTTCTCACCTATCTTTAAGGCTGAGTCCAGCCATCCTGGGAAGGAAGCCCATTTCTGCCACTTGCATCCGAGATCTCGTTCTTTTGGTTCCAAACCTCATGACTATAGGTGAGAGTTGGAACGTTGACAGACAAGTAAATTGAGAGCTTTGCCTTTCGACTCAGCTCTCTCTTCACCATGACAGACTCATGCCCTCATTACTGAGGACAAGACCCCAATACATCTCCCGCTCCATCCTACCATCACTCGTGAACAAGACGCCCAGAACTCCTCCACCTGAGGGAAACACTCTCCCCCAACCTGGAGGGGTCATTCTGCCCGTTACTTGTCGAGAGCCATCAGAATCAGAATAAGCGTTATTATCATTGCACCGAGATACAACGAGAATATGTCTGTACAGTCGTCCGAAAGATGGCCTCAGACTTTAAGGATCTAACTCATCCCGGCCGCTTCACACTCGGCTGCAAACCGCCCCAGGGCACTCTGAAGGTCTTGACCTGAAGATGCCAACAAAATCACATCATCCGCATTAAGCAGAGATGAGACCCTGAGGTTCCCACACCAGACACCCTCCTCTCCACGACTGCGTCTCGAGTTCCTGTCCATGAACACCACAAACAAGATCGGAGACAAGGGACAGCCTTGGCGGAGTCCAACCTGCACTGGGAACGAGCTCGACTTTGTGCCAAGAATGCAGACACAGCTTTGGTTATACAGAGACTAACATGAATCTTATAAAAACATGAATCTTGTTTTATGAGCTCCAAATGGATGTCTAACAGGGCTAATGTGTAATATTAAGATGTGTTCTTCAATTAGAGCATTGAATTCACACAGTTACATGTGTTTATAAAGCAGAGAGCTGAAGTGAACCGTTAGCTGCTGTGACCCTAAAGGAGCTGAAGTGTCTAATCTTTAACATGCTGTTGATGGTGAGTCTCCTCAGTAACGCTTAAACCTTGTACAGTTTCATACACAAACCTTTCAACCAGCTTTCTTTACAAGCTACCTGACAGGTTTATCTCTAAATGTGTTCAAACGTTTTCTTTTTATTCCTTGGTTAAAGAAGAGTGGGACTCCTGATAATGCCCAACAAAGCACAAGAGGTAAGTTGAAGCCGGTTCCCGTTTCATGAATCCAGAATCAGTGAATTTCTCGTGCTGTCTGGTTTCTGTCAGGACGCTGTAATCAACCTGAAGACGCTGCAGGACATTTCCAGTCAGCTCTGCTTTGAGTGGACAGTTCTGGCATATGAGCTCGGCTTCAGCAGAGCTGAAATAGGCCGGTTCCACACCAGATCCACAGAGAAGACCGTGCAGGCCAGGACCATGTTGGAAAGCTGGTAATTGATCTTGTTGCAGTCCCTTTAACAAACATCAGTGTGGTGTTGGATTCAGGTTTAACTGACATACAGTATATTGATCATATGAACCTATTGCATCGCTTGAACGAAACAAGAAGTTCTTGAAAAAAATCCAAAATATGCCAATTTACACACCAACTTTTTTTTTAAAAAAAAGATCTCACACAATCTGTGCTAACAATGTGATAAGGATGACTCTCAGCTGCTACCATATTCAGTTTTAACTCAGTATTTACTTTGTACAATAAAACTGACTGAATTACAGCCATTGTTTGCTGATGTTGATTAGATGTGGCAGCCATTTTCTATTGTTACTTGTAAATGTACATCCAATGAACAATTTACCAGATTATTATTAAAATCTAGTTTTTGGTTTGTAAACCCGCCACAAGAGAGTTTAAGCCAACGTATGTCTTGTGCCGGTCTTAAGCCCAGGTAAATGGTGAGGGTTGTGTCACGAAGGGCATTTGACTTTAAACACTTTGGTAAAATCAACATGCGAGTTGAACCAAATAACACCAAACCAGATTGGTCAAAGCTAATAACAGTTAACAACGTCTGCCACTGGTGCTGTTGATAAACAGAGTGCCGGAGACCACGAAGAGGGAAACGTGTCAGGAGTCAGAGGGAGAAGAGGAACATCAAGAATGTAGGACTGAGGGTGGACACTTTAAATGTGAGGAAAATGACAGGCAAAGGTAGAGAACTGGCTTACATGATGCAGAGAAGGAAGGTAGATATATTGTGTGCATAAGACTGAACGGAAGGGCATCAAGGCTCACAACAGTGGGACAGGATTTAAAGATCCTTCTCCTACTCCTGTTTCCTGGAACATCTTGCAAAAAGATCTTAAGCTCTCGACCTTGACCTCTCCAAGTGGCTTCAAACATCGGTTAAGTTCATGGCAAAAATCAATGCAGACATGTTTCTGTTTTAATTATTTTACATTGCCTTACAACCTAGCTGTTTTTCTTTTTTGTTTGTTTCATTTTTGAATGCCGTTTTCTTTCACTTGTTCTCTTCAATGTGTATGCTTCCTTTAATGAATGTCTTTGTTGTCCATTGTTGTAAATGGTAAATGGACTGTACTTATATAGCGCCTTTCTATCTTATTTCAAGACACTCAAAGCCCTTTACACTACAATCTGTGTCCTCATTTACCCATTCATACAGCACTCTACTAGATCTCTACAAAGCTAATTGAACAAATCATTCTAAAGAAACTAATCATAGCTTTATTACATTCATACACTGATGGGACACACATCGGAGGCTATGAGGGGTTCAGTGAGGGGCCCAGGGACACTTCGACATGTGACTGCTGGTGGATTCGAACCCCCAACTCTCGCATTGGAGGACGACCGCTCCAACCACTCAGCCACCCGTTGTCATCACTCTTTGTTAAATTCAGGTCTCTCTTGTAAATGATTCCCCGAGGCTCAATGGGACTACCCTGTATAAATAAAGGTTGAATGAAAAAAAAAAAAAAAAAAAAAAAAAAGATAGGCTGTTTTACCATGGTGTGGATAGAAAAAGAAAGGGAGTATGAGTGTTCCTGAAGGGGAGTTAGCAAGAATGTAGTAGAGGTTGGTGGCGCAGAGGTTAAAGAAGATGGGCCCGTGATCGGAAGATCGCCAGTTCAAGCCCCCGTACGGACAACATAAATAAAAAATGTGGGTGGGGTAGGTGAAGTACCCACACCTGCCACCACCCTCATTCCCCCCACTCTGGGCCCATGAGCAAGGCCCTTAACCCCCATCTGCTCCCTAAACAGGTCTCTCTTGAAAATGAGTTCTCGTGGCTCAATGAGACTACCTGTAGAAATAAAGG